GAAGCAGTAATAAAAACTCTTTCAATAAAGAATAACTTAGGACCAGATGAATTCACAATTGAATTGTACAAGTTCTTTAAAGAAGAACTAACATCAGGGCGCCTTATTCTACAAAACCAGAATGACCTATACCAAACCAGATGAAAACAAATCAAGAAAAGAAAATATCCTTGATGAATGTAAGTACAAAAATCCTTAACAAAATGTGTTTTAGTCAGCTTTTTCACCACTGTGACTAAAAGATTTGACTAGAACTATGGTAGAGAAGGAAAAGTTTATTTGGAGGCATATGATTTGAACGGTCTCAGTCCATAGACAGCCAGCTCCATTCCTTGAGAACATCGTGGTGGAAGAGTATGGTGAAGGGAAGTAGCTCACATGGTGATCAGGAAGCAGAGACTCCACTTGCCAGATACAAAATATATACCTCAAACCTATGCCCCCCAATGCCCACCTCCTCCAGCCACACCCTGTCACTTTAGTTACCACTCAATTAATCCTTATCATGGCGTTAATTCACTGATTGGGTTAAGACTCTCACAACCCAATCATGTCTCCTCCGAACCTTCTTACATTGTCTCACAAGTAAGCTTCTGGGGGACACCTCACATCCAAACCATATCAACCTATAAATCAAATTCAACAACACATAAAAATATCACACATCATGATCAAGGTGGTTTCATCCCACGGATGCAAGGATTGTTCAATATTCACAAATTGATAAATATAATACACCCCATAAGTAGAACTGAGGTAAGAAACCACATGATGATCTCAATAGATGGAGAAAAAGCCTTGGACAAAAATTAACACCTCTTCATGATAAAAGCCCTTAAAAAAACTAAGGACTTTTATCTAAACATAATATAGGCTAAATACAACCAATCTGAAGCCAATATCATACTGAATGGGGAAAAACTGAAAGCATTTCCTCTTAAATCAGGAGCAAGAAAAGAATGTCTATTCAATATAGTACTTAAAATTTTAGCCAAAGCAATTAAGCAAAAGAAAGAAATAAAAGGAAGAAAAAAGAAATAAAAGAACAAGAAGAAATTAAATGATCCCTATTTGTAGATGACATAATTACCTGCAAAAGACCATAAAGGCTCTAGAGCTGATAAGGACATTCAGCAAAGTGGTAGGATACACAATCAACATACAAAAATCAATAGTTTTTCTATACACAAGTAATGAATCCAATGAGAAAGAAAAAAAAAAGAAAACAAATCCATTCCAGCCTCATCTCTCTCTCTCTCTCTCTCTCTTTTTCTCTCTCTCTCTACACACACACAGGACAAAGAAGTGAAAGACTTCTATGGGGAAATCTACAGAACACTGAATAAAGAAATAGAAGACACTAAAAGATGGAAAGAACTCTTATGTTCAAAAGTAGGAAGAATTAATAGCATCATTAAACTCTAGGATATATAAGAACTCAAAAAACTTAACAACAAAAAAACAAATAACCCAATCAATAAATGGGCTAAGGAACTGAACAGACACTTCACAGAAGAAGAAATACAATTGATCAACAAATATATGAAAAGTGTTCAACATCTCTAGCAACTAAAAAAATGCAAATCAAAATATTCTAAGATTTCATCTTACTCCTGTCAGAATGGCAATCATCAAAAATACAGGCAACAATAAATGTTGGCAAGGATGTGGAGAAAAAGGTACACTCATATATTATTGGTGGGACTGCAAACTGGTGCAACCACTATGGAAGGCAGTATGGAGGTTCCTCAGAAAATTGGGAATGGAACACCATTTGACCTCAGCTATCTCACTCCTTGGTTTATACCCAAAGGACTTAAAATCAGCATACTATAGAAATGCAGCTACATCAATGTTTACAGCAGCTCAGTTCACAATAGCAGGACTATGGAACCAACCTAGGTGTCCCTCAATAGATGAATGGATAAAGAAAATGTGGTATACATACTCAATAGAATATTACTCAGCTTTAAAGAAGAATGAAATTATGGCATTTGACATATGAAGTTGAAGAATATCATGCTAAGTGAAATAAGCCAATCCCACAAAACCAAAGGCCAATTGTTTTCTCTAATATGTGGATGCTAATTCACAATAAGGTGGGGGGCACTAGGAAAGAATAGCATTACCTCAGATTAGGTAGAGGGAAGTGATGGGAAGGGAGGAGAGGAGATGTGGGGATAGGAAAGATAGAAGAATGAAACAGACATTATTACTGAATGTATATATGTGACCACATGACCATGATTCTACAACATGTACACTCAAAAAAAATGAGAAATTGGGCTGGGATGTAGCTCAGCGGCAAAGCGTCTGCCTTGCATTCGCAAAGCCCTGAGTTTGACCCCCAGATCCAAAAAAGACAAAAAAAGAACCCCACCAAAAAAAAAAAAATGAGATTAAAAAAAATGAGAAATTATATCCCCTCTATGTATGATATACCAAGGTACATAAATGCAGTCTACTGTCATGCATAACTAGTTTCAAAAATTTTTTAAATTTTTAAAAAGATAACTGAAATGTAAGATTAAATAACAAAATAAACACTATTGAACCTTGGAAAAAATGGCCATATTAACCAAAAGTGATTCAGAAGTTAAATGTGATCCCCATCAAAATACCAATGATAGTCTTCACAGAACAAGGAGAGGAGGGAGTCATAAAACTCATCTGAAAGAATAAAAGACCCAGAATAGCCAAGATATTTCTAACCAAAAAGAGCAATCCTGGCAGAATCACAATACCCAATTTTAAATTATATTACAGAGTTATAGTAACAAAAAAAGAATGATACTGGCATAAAAAAGACACATAGAACGATGAAACAAAACTGAAGACAGAGACAAACCTACAGATCTACTCATCTGATTTTTGACAAATGTACCAAAAAACATACATTGGAGAAAAGACAATCTCTTTAACAAACAGTGTTGGGAAAACTGGACATCCATATGTAATCGAAAAAACCTAGATTGCTATCTCTCACCCTGCTCAGAAGTCAACTCAAAATGGATCAAAGACCTATGAATAAAACCAGAAACTTTGAAACTGTTACACAAAAACTTAAGGGAAATGCTTCAAAAACAACAACAACAAAAATTCAAATAAGGGAATTACTGACCAAACAAACACTTCTCAAAGTACAAATGTTCAACTGTTTAGCCATCAGGAAAATGCAAATCAAAACTACACTGAGGTTCCATCTTACTCCAGTCAGAATGGCAATCATGAAAAATACAAATAACAATAAACGCTGGTGAGGGAGCAGGGAAAAGGACCCCTGATACACTGATACACTGTTGGTGCAGATACACAGTAGAATAGCCAGTATGCAAGTCAGCATGGAGGTCTCTCAAAAAACTAAATATGGAACTACCACGTGATTCAGCTGTACCACTCCTTGGTATCCATCCAGAAGAACTCAAAACAGCATACTCTAGAGGTAATGTGCATTCTCACATTTAATAGAAGCACAATTCATAATAGCTAAGTTCCAGTCTAGGAATCTGTCAACAGATGAATGAGCTAAAAACTGTGGCACTGTTATAGTTTGGATGCAAGGTGTCTCCTAAAAGCTCACGTGTGAGATAATGCAAGAAGTTTCAGGCATATGTACACAATGCAGTTTTATTCAACCATAAAGATGAGCAAAATTATATCATTTGCAGAAAAAAAGGATGGAATTGGAAAGCATTTTGTTAAGCAAAGTAAGTCAGACTTAGAAAGTCAAGAGTCCTATTGTTTTCTCTCATGGAAGAAAAAAAAGAAGGGTAAAGAGAAGAAAAAGAAAAAAAATGATCTCACAAAAATACAAGGTAGACCAATAGGGCAGAGGAAGAAGGTCAGGGAAAGGGAAGGGGAGAAGGAAAGGGGAGGTACTGGGGAGTAAAACTGATCCAATTATGGTATGTGCATGTACAAATATATCACAATGAAAACCCACCATTCTGTATAATTAATATGCATCAATAAAAAATGTTTTAAGTCAAATTGATGATTTAGTTAAAAACATCAACTCTTCTACTTGTATAATTCAAAAAAAAGTACACATACACAAAATAATCTAGCAGTACATTTACCATGATATAAAGACCATCAACATAAAGAATGGGAAATAAAAAGAGAAAATTACAAGAGAAAAAGAAACTCAAGTACTCCCACACCAAAAAAAAAAAAAAAAAAAAAATTCCCTATTTTCCTCTCCTGCTCTACACATATACATACAGGAAAGCAAGAATAAAAATAGGAACAAATATTCTCATAAAGATCTCAATCTCCTTACCACTGGAAATGCTCATGCTGCATTATATGTTTGCAGCATGGACACCATAGGGAAATCATCCTCAGATGATAACAGATTTGGTCAGCCAGGAATTCCTGGTTCCTGTTCCATATACTCAGGCAGGTGCCCCATAATGACATTTCAGTCACCCAAGGACTACATACGTGACAGTGGTCCCAAAAGATTACACCACCTAGTGACACTGCAGCCATCTTAGTTTGTGTTAAGTACACTTTATCAAGTTCGTACAGAGTTCCTAACAAGGCACTTCTCAGAACATGTCCCTGGCCTTAAGCAAGTGACTCTGTAACTAGATTTCTTTAAGCAGAATCATACTGTTTTAATCCATTCACACATTAATGACTTTTAATTAACAGTGAATATATATGATAGTGATGATAAGGGTATAAATATTATAACATCTAAGATAGATAAGTGGTTCTGCTGGAGGTGCCTAAGTAAATGCAACAAAAGCATCACTGAATACACTAGTTTCTTATACACTTTCAGAGTGCATGGAACATTAAAAAGCTAGATAGTGACCATCAAACAATGGCATCAGTTCTAACAGTGGTACTTTTAATCCCAAAATAGACTAAGAGGCTACCATAACCAACAAATTATTATACTGTCAAGTAAGATTTCTACTGTTATATAATAAAATCTAATCTGATGAGTAATCACTTGAAGTTCTATGCAATGCAAAAAGCAACCTTACCTTAAAGCAGAGTAGACACCCAGTGACAGAAATGAATAATCAGGATCATAGTACAAATACACAGATGAAACACAGTATGGAAGGATGTCAATCACCCCCACAGCAATGATCTTCCCATCAAGCCAGTACTGCTGGTGAAAGGAGCCATAACCACACTCTGGTCCATTAGGGGGATACTCTGCCTATGAAAAATAGATACACAAACATGAAGTTTGCCATTTTTCCTTATATTAAAAAAAAATCTCATAATTAATCTAGCAGACTTTTATTTTACTAAGTTAAATAAGTCCTAAAATGTCCCTCTTTGTTGCCTTCACCTTCCCCAGTTACACACTATGTTAAATAGCAAACCTTTTAACTTGTAGAAAACTGATGGAACAAAAGGATGAAAAGTAAAATCAAGAAAGGGTAAGATGGAGAGTACGGTTAGCAAGGACGGGGTTGCAGCTGGCCGGGGGGAATAACTTGAAAAGCTCTATAGCATGTCCCCATGTCAAGGCTGGGGACATGGCTCAATGGTGTACGCCTGCCTAGCATGCCTGAGGACCTGGTTCAACCCATAGTACCACGAAAGTGCTACAGCACAGCAGGTTACCTACGGCTGACAATAATTAAACAAGTATTTCAAAACAGCTAGTAGAGAGGATTTTACATAATTTTACATCATCTCAACAAAGAAATGTAATGTCTAAGGTGATATGGCAGATATGCCAATTATCCTAATTAGATCATTATACACTATGTACCTTGTTTTCAAACATTACGTGGTATCTCATAAATGTGTATAATTACAATGTGTCAATTAAAATTCATTCAAAAAAATTAAAAGACAGTAAGAAATCAACTTAAGTTTTCCTCAACTTACTTGTTTTAATATTTGACAGTGAGAAATGCACACGTTAAGTGAATTACTATGAAACTATATTCTTTTGTTCCACATGTAGGTTGAAAGGAAATTATGTGTGGGAGACAAACAACATAGAGGGCTGGGTGAGAACAGGAGAAGCGCTCCCATTAGGCCAACCAGGACGGTTCTCTGATAACCACACCACTGAGAAGCCACATGACCCCATTACTTGTTCCAGGTAAGAGTTCCTGTGTACAGACAAAGAGCTATGGATACTTCTTGTTAGCTAAAGGTGAAAAAGGTTTCCTCATAATTATCATAATGCAACTATAACCACAAAGAAGAAATGCTGAAATTTCAGAGTGTGTATGTGTGTGTGTGTTTGTGTGTGTATATATATACATATATAAATATATACATTTTTTGTAAATTCAGCTAATAGGCATTTCACATTATAAAATAACACGATTTTAATTATAACTATTGACATAAAAATCATAAAATAAAATTTATGAAGTAACATTAAAGTCTTTATAATAGAGTTTATAAATATTAGAAATTAACAAGTGAACAAATACAAATGTCTGGTACATCATTTTCATATATTTAAAACCACAGAAAATGTACATTGGCAAAGGCGGGGGAGGAATAGAGAAAAATAAAAAGAGCAGGTTTGCTAATATCCAAACTAGTAAAAAACAAAAAGAATATAATTCAATTTTTCTTGTAAACAAATATCAGCAAATTCAATCCAACAATGTACAGAAAGAATTATATGTTATGAACAAGAGTAATTTATTCTAGGTATTTGAGGCTGGTTAGAATAAGAAAAGCAGTCATTAAGAGAGGGGAAGGAAGGAAAGTAATCAATGTAATCCATCCTATCCATGAGGCTAAACCAAGAAAAATAATATAATCATATCAACTGAAGCAGGAAATATGTTTAACAAAAAATCTAACAGCTATTCATAACTAAAAACTCATACAAATGGGGAACTTGTTCAACTTGATATCAAATATATATAAAAAATCCTACAGCTAGTATCACACTTAATAAGAAACTAGATGCTTTCCCCTACTTAAGATCATGAACTAGGCAGGAAAATCCTCTCCCCCAACTCTTATTCAACATCAGACTTGAAATCCTAGCTAGTACCATGAGACAAGAAAAGAAAATAAAAGTTTTCAAAATGGGAAGAGGAAAAAAAAATCTGTTTATAGATGGCATAACTGTCTATGTAAAAAAATCCCCAAGAACTAAAAGAAAAACTAGAATATTTGTTATTAGCAATCATTAAAAAGTACCAGAATATGAGCCTAATTGCTGATATATACATAACTTCTATATATCAACAATGTCTAGGATTGAAATTAAAAACACAAATCATTAATTAAACCATGAAAAAAAATCCAGGTTTAAATCTAACAAAACATGTACAGAATCTATATGAAGAAAACCATAAAACTCTTACAGAAGGAATCAAAGAAGACCTAAGTAAAAGGAAAAATATTTGTTCATCGATTGGAAGACTCAACATTGTCAAGATGTCAGTTCTTCTCAAGTTGATCTATACAGAGTGCAATCCCTATCAAAATCTGAGCAAGCTTTTTAAGGGATACTGACAAACTCATTTCTAAAGTTTATAGAGAGAGACAAAAGACCCAGAATAGCCAACCCAATACTGAAGAACAAAGCTGATGCTAGCCCATGTCAGGGCTCAACCATAAAGCTATAATAATCAAGACAGATGGTAGTCCTGACAAAGTACGAGATAAATAGATCAACAGAACATAACAGATCTATAGAAATACAGTGAAGCGATCTGCCGCAGTCTGGCTGGGCACAATTCAGGAGCCACTTGTCAAAAGAAACGAACTTTATTTTTAGAACCACATACTGGCACCACACAGCTGCTCAGGAAAAACCTTCAGAGCCCAACTGCCACCACTGGCTTCTCACAAGCCTCTCAACCTCCCCCACTCCTCCTGCTCTTGAGGCCAATTGGCTGGGTCACTGGGTGGAGCCAAAAAAAAGTCCCCCAATGAGCAGCTCCTTAGTCTGAAAGGGCGGGGAAACAGCCCAGTGAGCATCACCGCAGAGGAGCCAATCAGCTAGAAGTTGCTGGGGCCGCTGTGAGCCAATCACCATCTGGCAGCTGGAGGTTTGCTGGCAGCTGGAAGTTTGCTGGGGCCCATACGGCTGTGGCTCTCAACATCAATCTTTGACCAAGAAGTAAACATAATTCAATAGAGAAAGGATAGTCTTTACAACAATGGTGCTTTAACAACTGAACATCCATATGCAAAACAAAACAAAAAAAATCTAGACAACTTACACCTTTCACAAAAATTAACTTAAGCTGGGCCTGGTGGTGCACGCCAGTAATCCCAGTGGCTAAAGAGGCTGAGGCAGGAGATCGAAAATTCAAAGCCAACCTCAGCAATTTAGCGAGACATTAAGCAATTCAGAGAGATCCTGTCTCTAAATGACATACAGTGGTCGAGTGCCAACCCCCAAGTTCAATGCCTAGTATCCAAAATAATAATAATAATCTCAAAATGGATTGCAGACCTAAATGTAAATTTCAAATCTGTAAAATTTCTGTATGACATATCTCGAAGATATAATCTCAGCAACTGTGGGTTTGAGAACATTTTTAGATACAATACCAAAATCACAATCCATCAAAATAAAAAGCTAGTAAGTTGCACTTTATAAAAATTTATAAAAAAAATGTTGAATAAAAAGAATAAAAAGTAAAGCCACAGAGTGAAAGAAAATACTACAGAAGATTTATCTGATAAAGGATTAGTACTCTCAAAATACACAAAATTTTTTTTAAATTCAACAATAAAAACAAAACCCTATTTTAAAATGAGCAAAGATATGAACAACACTTAACTGAAAAAAAAATGTACAGATGGCAAGTAAGCATATGAAAAGATGTCCAGCATCATTTGTCATTAGGGAATTCCAAATTAAAATAATAATGATGAGTGCTATACAACTATTAGAGTGGCTGAAATCCAAAAACAGTGCCAAATGCTGATAAAGACCAAGCAGCAACAGAATCCTCATTCAAGGACAGCAGGAATGTACAGTGGTATGGCACTTTTCAAATTTCTTATAAAACTAAAGTACCCTTTACCATACAAAACAGCAACCACACTCCTAGATGTTTTCTAGTTTGAAAACTTGTGTCATACAAAAAACCAAACCTTGAAAGTGAATGTTTACAACTGTTTTACTCACAGCTGTTCAAAACTGGAAACAACCAAGATAACCTTCAACAGGTGAATGGAAAACAAACTGTGGTCCATCCATACAATGGAACAGTATTCAGCAATAAGAAGAAGGAAGCTCTCAAGGCAGACACATGCACACACACAATGAAGAAGCTTCAGATGCATATTGCTAGGTGAAAGACGTGAGTCTGAAAGGTTACAACCTGCACAAATTCACCTGGAATCCATAAAAGGAAAAAGCAGAGACCAGTAAAAAGATCAGTGTTACCAGAGTTTGGGAGTACTAGGGGAAGGATGAATAGATCAAACAGGCCTTTTAAGTGGTAAAATGATTCTATATATATATGATACTACATCAGTAGAGAAGTCACATTGTGTATTTATCAAAACAACAGAACTTTGCAACACAAAGAATAAATCTAAATGTATGCAAATTTCTAAAAAAATTACTTGGGAGTCTGGAGAACCATGAAGGCACACAGGCTGTGGTGAGAGAATCTAGCTAGATTACACAAGTGTGAAACAATCTCACTGAAAGGTGCTACAGGAACAAAGGCAAATGAACAGCACCTAAGGTGGGGCTCCATCTGAGAAGGCTGCTTCCAGTGAGGGTCTAGACTGACAGTCTGACACTGCTGTATGAGCATCTGGAACTGAACAATTAAGTATATGGATGGTGGCTGGTAGGAGGCAGGTTTCTCACTGTTACAGTGGGAATTTATAGATAAATAAGGGCTTGAAGGTTTAAGAATCAATTTTAGCTTAATATAAACACAAATGGTAATACCTGGAAATGTATATTATAAACATGTGCATATACACAAGTTAATACACACATTTTTTTTTCCCTGTCATCTGAGAGGGCTAAAGGAAACAGCATCCCACTAGCAACAGTACACCTAATGCCCAGACGTTCATCCTAATTCCATTCTGCAATCAAAGGAATGAGGGCTACTGGGAGAAATGGCTGGTTCTCAGACTGGAAGAAATATTCAAGATGAGCTTGGAGCATCTTATAGTGTCAAGAAGGTAAGGATGTACTCAAAAAACAAAAACAAAACTCAAACCCACACTGATGGAGACGTATCA